CACTTTTCTTGTTTTTTTGCAATAACCTTTTTTGTTTATTAACCGATTTTAATTTAACAAGTCTCATTTTGTAGATAATTTTACTCCCTATAAGCTGTCTGAGAGTCACTTTTCGCTAAAATTGATGGTTTTCCCTGCAAAGTGAAAAAACTGTTTTCCTCACTTATTTGTTTAAATAGAAAAGTTAGCTAATAAAAGTTTTTGACTCGCGAGATGAGAGATGTCTAGTATTATGCTCATTTAGACAATTTTACAATAATCTCGCGGATAGGACTTTTTTTGAGTAAAAATTTTATTTGCTTGGTCTAATACCCTTCCCCGTCTTAAAGTGGAATAAAACGTCTACTAATAATTTTTGATTGGGTAGCAGGAAAAACGAAAAAAGCTAAAAAAACAGTTTTCACAACGGAATTTGAGAAAACAACTCATATCTTTCTGGAGGTCGACAGTACCTCTAGGAATGTTACACCCCGTATACCAACAAAAAAATCCCACATTCGATGACACATTGTATACCCATAATCAAAAGGTTTGAACAAACTTACAATGTTAGTTTGACAAATAATAAACAAGATCTTCCATAAGTTTTAACCATGCAAGAGTGCAGCATTTTTCATTCTACGTATATTAAAACTGGTAAACTACTGACCTCTCAACACAAAATAAAACACTTCCACATTCATGCTAAGCTCTTCTCTAACATCGGAATGATGCAGGCAAATATTTTTCAGAATTGATATAACAGGTACAATGGAGTCTGGATAATTTCTATAGTCCTTTTCGGTTAGAGCACTCTTTATTGTATCTACGACTATTTCAACTCCATTATCTTCCAAAAACACTTGATGTAAAAGGGGGTCTTCCACCATTACATTAACTTGATTGAGTGCTGACCGTTTTAATACCGGTTCTATATTTTCAGAGTTGACTACTTCCAGTACTTGACGCAAACTGGTAGGCTGTAAAAGGTTATTCGTTTGAATTTAAAACTTTCCGATTTTACGAAAGCGCTAGAAATATACACTGTGGATGATGTTATAGAACACAGCACCAAACGCCAAACCATAGAAAAGAGTTATGTTATAACTCAAAATCTGTGCCTATTTGTGTAACTCTTTTGTCAGAACTGTAATTTTTTGCTTAATTATTACCCTTTGTGTCATGCAAGTAGCCACACCATATTTTCAAATTTGGCGTTTGGCTCCCTGTTCTATAATTACCTGATAAAAATGGTCAGTGAAACGGGTTTTATTAATATCCACCACCGTCTTCAAATAACAAACATTAGCCAGTGCCGTGTCATACACTGTATTAAATTTTGGCAACAAGTCCCCAGAGTTTTTTTGGGACGTTAACAACCAGCATATCCTAGAAAAAGCCTCTTCTCTCAAATAAGTTTCCTTCGCAAAGAGGAATTCTACATTGCACTTTAGCATTACGATCGGAGGAATGAAGTTTTCCGTTATTCTATCGGGATCTAGAAGAGTTATTATTGCCTTGCCTATTGGAGAATTTTTTTTTGCATGACAAATGACAATGGGTAGAGACGGAATTAATGCCTGCACGATCTTGTTCCAGACTGCCTCGGATACCACTGTCTGGCACTTTATTATATACAGGACGATATCTTCTGCATAACGTGTTACCTAAATAAAGAAAATCCGAATGTTTCAACACCTTAACTACATACAGAGTGTATATCAATCAGGTACACATTGTGCCATACAAAAAAATTAAGTTTCTCAAAAGTTTTGGTTACACAAAATACACTAGCTTAGTTGGCTTGTAAAAAAAACACAAATCATTACATCTGAGTCAGAATCAAGATTTTTTTCAGTTAGACTACAAAAAAAAGAGCGAGCTTTATTTTTTTTTTCAAAAGAGGAAGTAAATATTCTTTTTACTGGAATGTTGCTAAGCTGACACAAAAAATTAAAATGGTATGTATAAACTCCAAGTTATTATACACGATACACGTAAGCCATTTTTTGACCCTTGAAAAACTAATGTAAACATTATTGTAAAAACGTTAATACTAAAATCGGATTTCAGTATTCGGAATCGCCTTGAGCTATGTGGAGTGTGAGCGCATTAAACACAGCGTACAACGCAAATGATGCTAGAGACTACAATACTAAGAGATGAAAATACTACAACTTCAATAAATTTTTTTCTCGTAAACTATAAGGATTTTACAAAAAAAATTTTTTTACGATATTGATTCCATTTTTCATAATGCATCTATTCTCAAATTTTTTTGGATAAGTTTTGAATCACCCTGTATATATTTGCATTTGCATCAAAATACAACTTTATGAATATTATTAATATTGATCACAATAAAGTTCTTAACTTGCTGATTTTTTAAAATTAAAAATCCCTTTTTTAGTAAAATGCAGTATACACCTTTCACATATTTAAATTTGCTTAACCTTGCAGACATTTAATAATACAATGTGGTAGGTACAGTAAATACTTACTTTTAAATTTTCACTTGTCATGCCAAACACGGATATGTTTATTAAAATGTTCGGAAGCAGCAAAAAAAGAATTTGAGATCCAGTCGAATCGATACGTACTTCTGGGCCAATATTTTTTATAATAATCCTGTGACATAGTCTGTACATTTCCTCTCTAATCTCCATTAAATTGTGAGATAATAAATTAAGGACAATTTCTAAAATTAAAATCAAAGATTCGTTCTTTTCTAAAATTTCACCCCTTTTGTTTTTTTGAAGAAATTTTAAGAATCGAAAATTATATACATTAACTTAAAAAAAATCGTTCTGTATCAATAAAACAATATTTAAAATATTATTACCTCAGGAAATAAATTAGTGACTTGTTCATTGTGCTTAATTTTACAAAAACAATATTTACCTTCAACTAATTTGGTCAATTCAAAATTATCAGAGATCTGACAAAATTTTGAGGAACACATATCGACGAATATTTTGAGAAAATCAAAATTCATATGGAACTCCATGCTTGGCAAAGCTTCTTTTGCGGCTTTAAGACTTTCATTTATACTAAGGTATTTGTGCTGTTTTAAGAACAATACCGTAGCTGACAATCCGTTACATACTTCTAAAACTTGTTCGTATTTTCTGAGAGGTTCGACTTCACTATGAACGCAAATACTCTAAAATAAAATATAAAACAAACGATAAAGACAAAAAATAATGACCGTGTCCAATTTAGCCACTCAGTTTTTTTATGACATTTATTAATAATTATAAATTAACCCCGCACTGTTCCAAATAAAATAATGATAAAACTCTACGTTTCGGTATACATACCTTTACATAATTCAGAAGAATACTGTAAACCTCTGGATAAATTTTCCCTAAAATAACGTCCAGGAGGCTATTTGACAGTGCACTTTTTAAGTTTCTCGGTAAAATCATACTAGCTTCAGATAAGGGAACAAAATGTTGTAATAGCATTGTGGTATTATGTATTAAATATAAATATATTATTCGGTAGACTGATTTTGTTTCGGAAATCATGAATTTTACTCTAAAAATATAATACGATGAGAAAGATCGTAATTCAAAAAGTATATTTTTCAATACTAACTAATTGTGTACAGTAATACCCCGCTTAACGCGTAGGATACGTTCCATCAAAGTAGAGCGTAATGCGAAACAGAGCTAAACGAGGCTATCTTAACATGTAAATAATGGGGTTAGGGGAAGATGGATAGAACATTGGTTAGGTATTAAATTTAATAATTATGTTTTTTTAATAAAAATAAAACCAAACATTTATTTCTTACAAAAATAAAAACAATATAAACGAATATTACTTATAAAAACAAATAAAATTCTAAGTCAGTCAGATCATTCAGTCTATTCTGTGTTTCCAATTTTCTGCCTTTTTGTCAGGAAGGCATCTAATGTAGTTTGCGTTTTCCTTTTGCGTTCTGTTAGAAGTTGTTGATAAGTGGATAAAGCATCTATAATACCCCGTCTTGCTTTTACTCCAGTCAAAATTTGGATCATTTTCAACAAATTGGTCCATAATTTCAGTTATCAACTGATAAAAATGCGTCCGTACAGCACCGCACCAAACAAGAAACACAACTACACTGTTTCAGATAGGTTATGTACATATTTAGAAACCTAGCGCTGCGTACAATTTCGGGGAATCCCCGTAGTGCTGCGAGCAATTTCGGGGAATCCCCAAGTTGAAGTAAAAGAGCCCTAAACCGAAACAGCGCTAAACGCAACAGCGTTAAGCGGGGTCTTACTGTACTTGAAAAATTTTAAAAAAGTATATTTTATATACAGGGTGTAACTTCAAGTGAGGGTCATTTTTTTGGGGGTAATCGTGTGTGTGATCCTCAAAATGCTAGTCTGAAATATTTTTTAAAATCATTTCAAGTTTTTAATAAAAAGTATTTGTTACTGTTTTTTTAAAGCACCGGGTTTAGTTTATTTGAGGTTATAATAGCTTACCCAGCGATATGGTACGAAAATTACAAAAAAAAAAAAAAACGTAAAAAAAACAGTTTTTACAACAGAATTTGAGAAAACAAATTTACGATGTATGTTTCTAAAGGTTAACGGTAGGCCCCTAATTCTCAATCAAAGTTACATCCTGTAATTCAAATAACAAGTAATACTTAATAAATATCCAATGGGAAAAAAATGTGTTTCATTTAAGTAGTGAGTTAGATCCATATCTATTCGCGCAAAAAAAAACAAGATTTTATAGATACATTAAAAAAAATTATTTAATAAATAACTCACCGGAAATATTCTAAAGCTTCCCCATACTGAATGAACAGTTCATTAAATTCCTTTAATATAACCAAACTCTCTTCGTTTTGTTCAGAATCCCAGATTTCATTCCCAAAACAAAGGCAGAGTAATTGGAAAACTTCTTCCAACAAAATTAAACAAAAATTTATTCCAACCTAGAATAAAAAACTTTTTATGTACAACATATTACAATTTATTTTAACAATTCAATTAGAATCAATGAAAAAATTATATTTATATCATCACGAGTAGTCGTGATATACAGCATGTCCCAATTAAGCATTAGCCACCCATGTAAAATTGTTATTTGTTGACCAATTTGTTTCAACTTTTTTTTATTTGATAGATCTCAGAAAAAGGAGTAGAATGTATAATTTCGGTATTTTCGTGATCTAAGCCATAGCCGAGACGCGTTACAAACCCAAATTTTTTCACAGTCTAGAAATAGGAGACAGAGAAGGAAGAATGGAATTTTGTTTCTGTTGAAAAATATTTTGTACACTGATGAAGATAGAAACGGTACTGTTTCTTCGTAAAATATTAGAATGTGGTGTGAAGAAAATCCGCATTGGGTTATACAATGCAGTATTCCGCTAAGGTTAATATTTGGTATGGCATTTTAAGTTTAAAAATCGTTGGGCTTTAACTATTTTGAAGGAAATTTAAATGCGGATGGTTTTTGGAGATTCCTACAAAATGAATTTATGAACAAAACCTATGACTTGTTTCTAAATGATCGCCTTAATTTACATGTACAGCTAAATGGAGCACTGGCTGAATGAACATTTTCACAATCAATGGATTAGATGGAACAGCCCTTTAATTCATTGGCCACTGCGGTCTCCAAATCTCACACCTCTCGATTTTTTTGTGGGGAGCCATTAAAAATAAGGTTTATGTTACGAGGCCCCAAACACGAGAAGAAATTTGTGAACGTATTACAGACGCATGCCATAACATTACTAAGAAACAGTTATGAAAAGTAATAATTAATAGTCGTCAACATATTGAAAAGTGTTAAATCATAATAATAAGTTTCCTTTGTTACTAATTTGAATAATACTGATTCAATACTGATAATACTGATTCAAATAATGCATGTGTTTCATAAATAAATCTTCAGTTGATTTAAAAAATTAAGGTTTAATTTTCTACAACACCCTGTATTCTATCACAACAAAAATTGGTATTCTAGATAGTTCTGAATAAGAATCCGTTGCAGTTTTTGTAGAAAAAAAATCGCTAATATTACTTCTCGTTTTTTCCTCCTATAAAACGCGTCTCAGTTGGCCATGGCCAGTTGACCACAAAAATACATAAAAATACTAAAATTATACATTCTACTCCTTCTTCTGTGATCTACCAAACAAAAAACAGTTGATACAAATCAGTCAATAAATAACAATTTACATGGGTGGCTAATGCTTAAGTGGGACACACACACACTGTATGTAAATATTTGTATATAAGTAAAAAAACTTATTCTACATAAATCGGAATATAGGTACGTCTTAATCACCTTATTTAGTTTTAATTTGTTATCTCCAAATTCATCCTGCTTCATGCACAAATATTCAAAAACCTTAGTTAAAGTTATAAAACCATACTTGGGGAAGGACAACTGATTTTTCTCCATTAGTAAAATATCTTCTATTTTTTCCAAATTTTCGGGGAGCTTATGGGAAATCCCAATAGGCTCAGAATTTCTTTCACTTCTTGGTGAATTGCAAACAGGCTGAGAGTGATCTAAATGCTAAAAAATAAGATCGTTTCAAACAACTTTGCTGAATAATCTATTTAGTACCAAAAAAAGAATACTTACAATGCTTCTGAAATTTTGCAGAGATATGTCTTTACAGTAATGAATTCTTATCTGGAGTAACTTTGTTAAGTTACACAAGGCATTTAAAACAGCATTAGTCAAACGAATAGATCCGCACATCATCAGAGAGTAGAATTCCTTAAAAAATATACGCATCTTATGACGTAATATGACAATATACCAATTTATTGCATTACCAGTACAATTGCAGGCCGTTGCAAAAATATTTCAGCAGGAAAGTCATGTAAAAGAATATTGGTGAAAAATTCACAAGAAGATAATAGCGCTGACGACTGGGGAGGATCTTTTAATGAATTTTCTACTGATTGCAATACATGTCTATCGGGTTCTATAAGTGGTTGCCAGTTTAGATAAAAATTTGACACAAAACTAGTATTTTTCTTAATGCTGCTCAATATAAAACTTCTACCATCGGTAAAATTGTTAGAACTCAATTTCTCTGACCAGTGCTGAATCCTACAGGGAAAAAATAGTATAAATATTTTACCAAATCACATCGACAGTACTCATGCTGAAAAGTAAAGACTTCTCTAGGCATTTGTCTTTTAGGCATTCGTTTTATTCTAATATTCTGTATTCCAATAACTTGTTATTTATGTAAATATTAATTTTTAGAGTATGCTGGTAGAATTGTACCAAAATGTGTGTCAATAAAACCAGTTTAAACTTTAAAGTACTTGGACCTTTTATAGCTCCCTATTTCACAAAACTTATCTTAACAAAAGAAAGTACCACATATATTTAAAAATAATCCGACCAATACAAGTTGTTGACTAGTTTTGTAAAAAATAGACATAGTTGAAATAAGAAAAAATATATAAATATATTATTTAGTCATTCACACAGGGAAATTTCAGAATAACTGTTTATCAGATTGGTAGCTAGTTGAACCCAAAAGAAAGAACTTTTTAAGTTGTTAAGGTTTAAAGTTAAAAAGTTTACCAAACAAGCCTCGAAACAAGCCAAAACTGTTAGTGACCCTAGATAAAATTTAATAAATATGTGCAATTGACTTTTGATATTGTTTTAATACGTCTCTGATTTGTAAGGAATTATATTACATACCCTATCTGTTCTTCAGCAAAAGATTCTTTTTGAATATATCCTTCTATTGCAGTAGCTGTTGTACCAACAGCTGGACTGATTAAAGGGCAATTATTTGTACTATTCGTTCTGTAACTTAAAGGAATGTCCGTCTCTAATGGTGGTACTTCAGGTTCATCTTCCTTTTCATCTATTAGTTCGCATAATTCATCTAAATCTGTATAATATTTGGATTCCAAATATGAGCGCATCTGACATATTTGCATTTTTAAAGATGATTTGCCATAATGGTTTATTAAAGTTCTACCACTTTTTGACTTAAAATAATAATATTTAGATTTAGTTAAAAATAATTCCTTAAATGTATTGTTACCTTTAAAATATCTTTCAGGAGAGAAAACACAACCTGCTTTTGAGTACAGGGCTCAAATAGAAACCACTGAAACAATTTTGTAAGAAGCTCTTTGTTCTTCGCAAGATCATCGTCGAATAAAATTCTGTTCTCAAATTTAGACACTATATTAAAAAGAGCTCTTTCACGAATTTCCAATATTTTGTGCCCTACAATGTTTATTGAGGTTATGTTAACTATACAATAAAATATGTATTATACATTTTTTCTACCTAATTTCTCTATAAGTGGAGAAGACATATTATCTTCTATAACAGTAAATATATTTCACTAATAAAAAGGTAAAAATTCTCATAAAATAACACTTTACAAACTTGTCATTCAAGATTCAAAAATCTAAACAAATGTGGAATGGAAATGTAAAACACTGCGCGTGCGTACGCTGTGTGTGAAACAAAAACACTATAAATTAATTTCAACTTCAGGCAAAACAGAACTACCTATTTTGGTGTTAAAGTTATATTAATAATGATAATTTTAAATTACATTTTGATATTTTCATGGGTTCTAGCTTCTTAATTTCCACAGGACCACCGCCCAAGAAAATATGTGACAGAAGAAAAATAATTTGTATAAATCGTCAGGAGTCTGTACATCAAAAAAATTTAAATTCTTCATATTTGTATACACATCATTTATTATATTGGTTATTTCAGTAAACATCTTTAATTTGTAAAGTTAAAATCAAAAATTTTTCGTAAAAAAAATATTTTCTGACGTATAGGTATTCATAGCATGATAATCATCATTCAAAAAGGCAACAACACAAATCTAGGTATATCCATGGTATGAAACTGTGAATGTGGCTGGCAGATGCATAGAAATTATAGTACTAAAAGTTGTAAAGCATACAATTCTACATAAAAATGAACTCTTGACTTTTTCTTGTATTATTAAAATTAACAGAGTTAGGGAGGCTAGAACTTAAGGGGAAGATTTCAGAAAATTAAAAAAATCAAGCAGAAAAATGAATGAATTTTGTATTATTTTTTTTTTGATCTACTCAAAAATAGATTTTTTTTAATTTTTAATAAGAAAGTTATAACAATTTCAAATTTGTTGTTCACCCCCCTAAACAGAGATTTTAACGAAAACCCCGAAACAAGTCAATTTAATTTTGTCAATTTGTTTACATACATCATATTTTTAATTCTTTTTGAGTAGGGGAGAGTGTTCCACAATGAAACATTCTGGTTTAAAATAAAACAAGCGAATATACATCTGCCGCCATCTCGTGAATAAAAGTTAACTAATATTCGAGCTCTACAAACGAAAATACGTTATCATATCGGCCGCGGTTTAGCCAGTGTTACCAGCCAGTGTTTGTACTTAATCTATGGTGTTACCAAGTCAATTCGAGAAAAGTGGTTGTAGTAACTTTCCACCTGCTCCTTCAAAGACGATTTCAAGTTTAGACGCGTATAGTATTAAGTGATTAATATTGTGGCAGGAAGCCCTGATATTTTACAATGTAAGTAGCCTTGTTAATGTCTTTAATTATTTCATGTTTAGTTGCAACACATTTTTTTGTTTGAGGTTATACATGAGCCACAGTGAAACATAACTGTTTTACTGTGGACCAGCATGTCTGCCTCACATATGTTTCACAGTGCCTCATGCATTTCCTTACATTTATTTCTTTCCTGCAGATGGCAAGAAATCGTACACGAAAGACTGCTATTGGTTTAACCACCGCAGAGGTGATGAGAAATGCTATAAACCTGTATAATAGTGGCTTAACCCTAAGAAAAGTTTCTGAACAGACAGGTGTTCCTTTTGTTACACTTTTCCGCTATGCAAGGAAACAAAAACAAAATCCCCTTGAACAAATAAGGCTTACACCTAAATACAATTCTAGACAGATTTTTGATGCAGTCCAAGAAAAAGAATTGGTACAATATATTCTCACCATGTCAAGAATGGGTTATGGTTTGACAGTAATAGAATGCAGAAAATTGGCTTACGAAATGGCCATACGAAATAAAATTCAAATTCCAGAAAACTGGGCAAAAAATAAAGTGGCAGGTTTGGAGTGGTTTAGGGGTTTCAAGAAACGTCATTCTAATATTAGTATTCGTTCTCCTGAGGGGTGCAGCTTATCAAGAATGACGTCATTTAATCCGCATAATGTATCAACATTCTTTACCAAATTGGAGGCGGTTTATTCCCGAAGTGAAAACTTCTCTGACGGTTCAAGAGTTTATAATTTGGACGAGACATCAACCACAACTGTCCAGAATCCTAAAAAAATTATTGCAGGAAAAGGAATTAAACAGGTGAATAAGTGCACAAGCGGTGAAAGGGAGCAAAATGTTACTACATGCTGCATAATTAATGCTCTAGGAACGGCGCTGCCACCAGTGATGGTTTTTCCACGCAAGAATTTTAAAACCCATATGATAAATGGTGCTCCTCATGGTACATTGGGTCTTGCTACTACTTCTGGGTGGATGTGTTCCGAAATATTTCCACAAGTTATCGATCATTTTGTTAAATTCACATTATCGAGCAAAATAAATCCTACGCTCTTGATATTAGACAACCATGAAAGCCACATTTCTCTAACTACTATAGACAAAGCTCGAGAGAATGGTATTACAATATTAACTCTACCACCCCATTGTAGCCATAGGTTACAACCTTTGGATGTAAGTGTTTTTGCCTCTTTCAAAGCTCACTACAATACCGCAGTAGACAGTTGGCTTCTTCATCATCCAGGGACGCCAATAACTATATACCAAGTTGCTGAATGTGTTGGAACCGCTTATGATCGCTCGATGACGCCAAGTAACATAAAATCCGGCTTTAGGAGAAGTGGGATTTTTCCATTTGACAAAAACGTGTTCAATGATGGTGATTTTATGACTTCTGCTGTCACAGATCGACCTACTGTAGATGAGCAAGAAGTTTCAACTTCTAAAGTCGATGAGACTGCATTAAGCGAATGCGATGAAGTCAAACAAAAATTAGAGCCCAAACAAAAGCAAGGAGGTTTTATTTCACCTGAACAGTTCAGAGGTTATCCCAAGGCTTTCGAAAGGAAAAGTAAAATTAATAGAAGGAAGGGAAAAAGTATGATCGCGACGGATACCCCCGAAAAAAATATTATAGAAGAGAAGGAACAAAATAAGAAAAGACCGACAATCAAAGCCGTGGAGAACGCTAAACGCAAACTAGTGGAATCATCTGATGAAGATGATGAAGTATTGTCCGTTCACTCAGAAACGGAGGACTGGATTCCTGAAGTTAATCCAAATGGTTTCGAAGATCTTATGCGCTGCCCAGAGGTTGGAGATTTTGTACTGGTAGAGTTCAAAATTCAAGAAAAAAATAAGAAAAGCGTTTATTACATTGGACAAGTCTCAGGAAATAAAGATGAAAATGGCGACGTAGAAGTCAGTTTTTATAGAAGGCATACAAAGGTAGCTAACAAATTTGTTCCGCCAGTAGTGCCTGACATCTCGACCGTTGCTGAGAGTGCCATTAAAATGATCCTGCCAAAACCAAATGAGCATGGAAAAACCAAACGTCAAGTGGCTTTGCTTTCCTTTGAAATAGGCTTTAACAACATCGAGGTACGTTAAAGGATCACCTTTAACATATTTCAATGTCTGAATTGTTTAATTCCAGATTCATTTTTGTTTATTTTCAGTTCTATTTAAGCCTAGAATGTCGTTTTGTAATTTTTATGAATATAAAATAGACGTTTTTCTTAATTTTTAAATGTTGTTTCACTTTACCCCCACTACTGTTCCACAGTGAAACAAAAAATGTATTTTTTAAAAAAATCCTAATTTGAAAAATTTTATATTTATTTTAATTTTTTATAATCTGTATTCAAGTTTAATGTATACTCACCCGATTTATTGACCTATAAACCTAGTTTTGAAGGTCCGTGATATTTTCGCATATAAAAATAAAAAAACTGTTTCACTGTGGAACACTCTCCCCTAAATATGATTTTTTCATAAATAAAAAATATAGTTTTTCTAAAATAAAAAATAAGGGTAGCAACCTCCAAATACGGAATCACTTGCGAAATATTTGTTTTTTATCATAAGTAATTTCCATTTTGTTTCATTTCAAAATATTGATTACAACCCCAGAAATTTTGAAAAAACTGTTTTGAGGGGCGAATTTTGAGGATGTATTTCACCCCGTAAATATGTTTTTCCGCCGATAAAAAAAATACGTCTCTACATTTTTGAGAGTAGATTGAAAAAAAAATTACAAAATTCATTCGTTTTTCTGCTCGTTATGATTTTTTTAAATTTCTTCTTAAGTCTTCCCTTAACGTCTAGCCTCCCTAACTCTGTTAATTTTAATAGTACAAGAAAAAGTCAAGATGCCATTTTTATGTAAAATTGTATGCTTTACAACTTTTATGAGGAACTTTTTTTTCTAGCCCTTGCCCCTTTTGAGTTATCCTGAAAAACTACTTTGTTTTATCTTTTTTCACCCTTGGCCGGGGGTTGAACAAAAAATTACTGACACTTATTGTTATAAATATACCTACCTCAAACTAACTCATATCAAAAATTCAGGCAAGTTGACCAAAATTTCGATTTAATTGGACTATTAAGAAAGATGTAGAAAATTTGTTTCAAATTTTTCCGATATAAGGAATATCTTTTCAAGTTAACTAACTATGTATTTTATGGGTTGCGCTATGTGCTTTTGATTAATTTCACATAAGTACTGACTTTATAAATTGACATGTCCTAATTTCCGATTTGTCAATTTTTTAAAAACATGCCAGTGATTTGTACTAAAGAAAAAAGCAAGTATGAAATTATTACAGGACGAGTTTTGGAAAAAAGGAGGGCGGATAGCAAAATCAGTAACCAAGTGAGTAGGAACACGTTTGTGTAAATCTCTAATAGAATAAACCTTTTGGATTGTTGTACCTTCAGACTCTCAGGACATTTTCTGTGAAAAACACAGACACCTCAACAAATTCAAAGTTTTTTGTAGGAACACCAATTCCGAACTCAACAGCTAAAGGAAGTATCAACTGGAAAAATACAGTAATTTCATAAATCATTTGATTTAATATACATATAACTATTGTAAAGACGTTTATTTTTTCAGTCGTACAATACAATAGTTAGTGAAGATCAAAAATTATACAATATTCCAGAATCGGCGGAGAATCAAACGGCATTTCAAAAGATCGATTTAAAGAAAACTATTACCCATGATAAAAAAAATAAAGACGTATGTCAATATTAATAATAGGTACAAAAATTACTTACTACCTATTTATTTTTTCGTATAGGACGATACCAACAGAGATTCTC